ACGTGGCTCGCCACGTCACGCGCCACGTCGGATCGGTCAACTCGTTTTTTTGACCAAATAACGCTATAGACGAATATGGAACCATTTAACAAGTTCAGGATTTAACGTGTTCAATTTTGCAAGTTTGGGAATTAATAGGCACCTCTACAAGTTTAGGAATTAATATTACTCCAAAATACAAGTTCAAGAATTTTTAGGGTTTTTTCCCTAAAAAAAATCGGTAAAATGGCATAAAAAAAATTGTTGACCAAATGTAAACTGCATATATATATATATATATATATATGCGAAAAAACGAAGGCGAAAGAGAAAAACATTCACGTGCATGGGCATATACACGTATATGATTGCATGAACAATATAAATATTAGGTTTAATGGCATGATTATTCTTTGTCACCCTATAATGATATGTTTATCACTTATCTTATAACATATAAATATATATTTATTATATACTTCTTATGATTTAGCTGACAATATTTTTTAAATGTCCGAACAATTTTAACAAAGCGTCCGTAGAATTGAAAATGTTAAAATTGCATAATTTCACCTTAATTTATTATTTTATGGAATGTAGTGACATGTTCATACAACACACTTCAAGAGAATCTGAAATTATTTATATACAATATCACAGCATTATATATATATATATATATCATTCCTCTCCTTGTCGCTTATCTCACTGAAATTCTTACCTATTTTAAGTGTCTCATTTTCCAAAACAAATAAATTATTCTACACAAAAATATACCCATTTATACGAGCACCCTCGCCATTTCTCGATCTGTGATGTGATTCTTACGTAGGCCATACAATCGTTCCGGTTATGGGACGTCCCAACGAACACTATAGGCACTCGCATTATATACTTACACACACACACATATATATATATATATATACTAGTATGTATATATATATATGTGTGTGTGTGTGTGTGTCAATCAATATATATCACGTTGTGATGCTTTTCACAATACATAATAGTTTATTCGTTACGTCTTTTTCCCTAGCGGGTAGTTTATTCGTTACCATCACAGAACAGAACTTACTGTTTATTTATTGTTATTATTAATTATTACTATTATAACTATTATTATTATTATTATTTATTATTATCATCATCATCATCTAATATGTACATCATAAGGTTTAAAGCATAACGATACGGTATCTTTCCAAATGACAAAATAAGAAGAGAATATAGTTTATATATAAATGATTCTGAATCAAGTAAATCAAAACTTTATTAATTCCGCGTGGCATTCAAACGATAACGCGAATCAAATACTAATTGATCCGCTAGAACCTACAACTCGAGATACTAGTGCTCGATCTAAAGAGCACCGCCCTTTTATTGAAATACAATACCCTAAATTAACCCTAGTTATATTTGGTTTATATATCATCATATATAAAGGATCTGCACATGAGATCCGAAACATCCGACATATCACACCTATTTGTGGACCCCACAACTATTGTACCAAAGTCTTCATGCCTCATCATGAGTACAGGACAAAGAACATATGATGTACTTCCGCTCTTTTTTTTTTTGTTTTGGCTCTCCAAATGCAATGTGAAGTTTCCGGTCGATCATATGAAATTCGGGTGGTCAAGAAGATAATCGGACCAACCGTCCAAGCGACTTATCATGTCTTCATCAAAGGTAGTTGATGAGACATCTTGGGAAACATCCGAAACCATGTGTTCACGGTCACTACACCTCAAATTGTTCTTATTATCGTCATCATTCTGATCGCAACCGCCGAGAAATTGCGAAAAATCATATTCTTGGCAGTGGAAATTCGCTGTCGTTGTGTTTGTCATGGTCTCGAGTGAATTGACAGTTTGTAGTTCGTTCTCCGTTTCATAATACCATGAAGACTGGGAGACCAAATCAAAATCGTCGGTCGTCATCGAAACATGAGAACTATCTTGATGGGCATCGTGAATATAAGGGAGGCCAGATGTCGGTGTAGGATTGGTTAAGCTGCCTTCCACGGAAGCCGACAAGATTCCTCTCATGGAAGTAACCCTAGTCGCCACTTTGTTTAACAGGCACGAGGTGGAAGAGGAGCGTTTCTTGCCGCTCAAGGAACCCCCTGATCGTGGTGGTGTGTCGCCATGGCTGCTGCTGATCTCAGGTACCTCCACAGGCCGAGGAGAGACAGAACTCAACTGGGAATGCTCGTCCGGGCTAAGGGCATTCTGGATTTGGGATGCGGAATTCTCAGGGGTCGAGGGTCTAGGGTTTGAACCGAGTGGCTTGTGGGTCACGGGATCTATGCCCTGTTCCATCAACCGTTTCTTCAGATGTGTGTTCCAGTAGTTCTTGATCTCATTGTCTGTTCTTCTTGGCAAATGTCTTGCTATCGCCGACCACCTGAAAAAGACGACCCTCCATTGTTAGTTTTAGTTCAACCCATTTCAGACCTATGCATTTACCAGGGGGTATATAGATATATACACTTTACATATATATATATATATATATACAAGCAAGTGAGTTTTGAGATTGCTACATACTTGTTGCCCCGAGAAGCATGAAGCATGATGATGATCTGCTCCTCCTCTGGACTAAACTCTCCTCTCTTGATATCGGGTTTCAGATAATTAGTCCATCGCAGTCTACAACTCTTTCCGCATCTTTTCAACCCTAAAATCATCAACCATATATATTCACATCAAATATCCAAACGAACACACACACACACATATATGTATACAAGGGATTTATATATGTAAGAAAGCACATACATCTAACCGTACACATACCGGCTTTTTGTGGAACGTCACGCCATCCGCCTTCGCCGTATTCTTGGATATAAACGATGAGTTTCTTGTCCTCCTCCGTCGTCCATGCCCCTTTCTTCAACCCTTCTCCACTGCAGCACGGTTTTCTTGACATTTTTCCGACAGTCCTTTACACACTCTCTCTCTCTCTCGTTAAATAAACACTCCGATCCGGATCGAAAATGGGACGAAAGAAACGGAAAAGAAATCGAAAGAGGAACGGTAGGGTTTACAGATTGATCAGTGAAAAGGCAGAGACACAGATCTTTTGATCAAGACTCTGATGCATCTGAATATGAGACTAACGGAAAACCAATGGAAGATATGACTCCGGAAATAATAAATGTATGTTTTCGCTTCCATGTTCTTGATTTCGTGAAAACTATATCATCACGAGAGAAAACGAAAGGAGCTAATTAAGAGGTGGTGGTGATGGGCTTGTGAGCATGTGCTCCTCCATGTTTATATACACACACGTTTGAGCACAAGCCTTGACACGACCGAGGGCTGAGGCTTACGGATGTACCATCTATATCTTCATGTGGGTGTATATATATAGATTATAAGTGAATATATATGTTAATTAACTAACCTATATATATATTGAATGTTTTTTTTTCTTTAGTTTATTTTATGCAAAGCCTATGGGACACACGATGGCCACAATTTCGGACAACCATATAATTTTATTAACCTTTTGTGCAATGATAGTCATAAAAAAAAGCATACGAGTAATAAAAACAAAATACATAATGAAAAAGCATATTTTGTTCATCACGTGGCTTTTCTTCGACCGTTGGTCTTATTTGTTTCCGCTTTGTATATGTGTATCTCCGCATTTGATCCCATGCAGTGTTTTCTTTTTACGTTAAAGTTTTTATTTGATTATTGTTGGTTTCTCATCTTACTTTGAACTTTTCTTTTAAAAAAAAATAAAAATAAAAAAGAAATTATAACCTGATTTGGGCATATCCCAGCGTTTTTTGTTTTTTCTCATACGTTACCAAAAAAGGAAAAAGAAAAAAATATATAACGATATAATAAGGTAGATATAGGATTGTCGTTTTGGTTCAAATATTAAAATAAAATCGAATTGAATAAAAACATTTTAATTGAATCTCATCCCAAAATCTATTAAATTTTATTTATAATCAAATTAATTGAATTCAAATTGAGAAAAATAATCGAACAAATAAACAAAAATTAATTAATTTTGAAGAATAAATTTTATTTTAACAAAATTGAATCTGAGTTAAATTTAAATAAAAGCGATATGAAATACCAATCAACATTAATATCAACATCGCCTAAATCTCAAGTTAATTTGGGATCGGTCGGATAAAAACTTTGTTTTCACTCATTTCGATTTTGGAATAAATCTTTTGAAATTTACAATATATCGAAATCGTTGTTAACGACTGGTTCACAATTTTATCTAAGTCTATCCATCTCTTTTCTCTTCGTCCTACGCTCTACTTTCTCTTGTTTTTACACCATGAAATATGAATTGATTTAATTATGAAGCAGCACTTTATATTCAGACTAACCATAATTTTTTTATTTTAATATAAATAAATTGGAGAGGCAGAAATGGACGGTGCGTTTGTGACCTTTTTTTTTTGTGTGATTGTGGACCGTCACAGATGTGTCCCTTGAGCGTTTTCAAGCATTGCATCTACATGCATCATAACCTAATTTTTTTTTCACTTTGGGACATTATATTAGCACTCGAGATTTTTGTTTTTATATTCTATGAGAATTTAATTATATATGTAAATACTTGTTTTATCATTAGGTGATCTGTCGCTTGACATTTTTTTTTTGAAATAAATAGAAAGAGTTAAATTAGGTCTCATATTGTTATAAAAAAAAGGTCTCATATAATTTAAATAAAAAAATATAACAAAATGATAACACATGAGACTTTTTGCATGTGTAGTTTTTATAGTTAATTGATATATTTCCAAATATATATTATAGGTTCTGCGCCCTCAATTATTATATACATAGACGGATGTCTGTTAATAAGATGTCATGTATTTTATGTACACATTTTAGCTATTTAAAGTTAATATTAGTTTTATATCTCTATCCAATGAAATAAAATTAATATCCCATATTTTGTAGTTGTATTATTTGTAGTATAATCAATATTTTTTTTAAAAAAAAAATCGCTATATAATATAGATTTCTGATTTGATAATTATTATCAAGTTTTAAGATTTAATTTATCCTTAAAACATTTATATTTGCATTTTTGTTAGGCTCTTGTATCTTTAATGAAATTTCTCCTCAAAATATGATAGAAAAATTGACTAAATCTCGATTCGTTGAAGGATATAGTAAGCAAGCTCTCTTATCCTTACATATATTTGTCACCACGACGACCAATGGACTCACTATTGGCATACTACACGATCTCTCTCATATACACATACATTTACGTATGCAATTACATACATACATACATACATATATAGGCGGACTCATTTGGTAACAAAGTGGGGTCACTGCCCCCATTACGATTAAAAAAAGATGTTGTTTATAAAATTTAACAAAATTTTAAAGAAAATGCCCCAGTTAGCATCTTATGTATGCCCTTTTTTAATTTTTAATATCTATTTTTCTCCCTTTTTTTTAAATTTTTCTTCCAATTTCAAATTTCTCCTTTTTTTTTTTCTTTTTTTATGACATAAAAAAGTCATCATCAAATCAATTGAATAAAAAAACTAATAGTAACAAGATTAAACGTATATAAGTATCACAATTTTTATTTTAAACATTTTTTATCTTTTGTTCATTTGTTTCTATGTATTTATCATATTAATTCATAAATTTGTTCTTATTATATATTTACTTAATCTTGTGTTTGATTTGGTTGAAAAATCGATGGACAAATTTGCCTAAAAATTTGTATCATATATATCTCAAAATAATGGTAAATTTCTAATCATGTATCAAATTCTCAGATTAATCCCTCAATACTTGAACAAATTGATTTAGATCATTTATCTTATGATCTTATTGATAACAACAATTAACGTATATCATTCTAGATAAGATAGAACACAGATTTTGAATGATTGTCTAGTTTATTTTATAGAAAAATATATATTTCAGGTGGTTATAAATAAAATTGTTATGAATAGAATTTAAAAAATGAATAAAGATTCAATTGTAGAACATAAATATTTTTGTGACTATTTTTTATTAAATTTTTGTATTTTATATATAATTTTTTTTTATAACGGAGGACTCCTAACTGCTACCCTTCGGGGGCGTGCTGACTAGGTAAACCTCCAGCGAAAGTAACCTTTGTATATGGATCATATAAACCCAGATATTACCTCCCTCCCCATCAGTCAGGAATCGAACATTCAATCTCAAGGTGGAGTTACCTCCTACCCCAAGCTTGACCACTCGCCCACGATCTGTTGGGTATTTTTATATATAAATTATTATTGGCCCGATGAAAAACAACTTTGGATCCACCCCTAGATACATACAGGTTTACGGTGCATGTTGCTATGGTGTTAGATGATCGGATCGTCCGAACTTCAACCTGCATGCCGTGGATCCGAAAACTTGTGTGTGGTTGTAATGTGTGTGATGATTAATTAATATAGGTTTTAATTATTGCGATACATGACCCGAAAGCCATACGATTGTTATATTATATATCTTGTATATATCAATTGTCCGTTCGATCTTCTTTCTTAGATTTTTCGGTTATAATTTTCATACAATTATGTAATCGTGGTGAAAAGAAACGAAGTGGGCAATTACGAAGAAAAGCAGAAAATGTCGAAATCGAAAAAAACATAAACAGTAAAGTTTCTGCCGTGTGGGGAAGCAGACATACAATTCTCTTCCCTCCACTCCATTTGTAGGAAGCGCTCGAAGACATGGTCGATGTGGGGAACATGCACATTCCACTCACTCGAGAATAATCATGCATGTTTTTTTGGTTAACCGGGAGGTTCATTGGGTTTTCGGCTCATGTAATCTCGTAACCCCTATGTTTTTTGGTTAACCGGGAAGTTCAATGGGTTTTCTGCCCTAATTTTCCAGTCTCGAAATCAACCGTCATTGGAGATAAATTTTTATTTATCTAAGAACTCCTATCCATGTCTGAATTCGAATCCAGAATAAGAATACATGATCCCTTACCATTAGCCCACCAAAATTTGGGTATCATGCATATGTACATGCACACACAAATCCTTCCATTTGTAAGCATGCACGTTAACCGGCGTATATTCAATCTCCTTTATACAGTGTATATTTATATGTATGCAAACATATATACGTACATATACACATACAGCCACGCCTATAAATACGCACAATAACAAACGTATATATATATATATATACATACATACGTTATACATATAAACACCTAAATACGCATGCTAATAGGGTTAATATGATATTCTAATTTTAGCTCAAGAGTATTTACAAATACACTGTGTAGAGGGATAGGTGGCTTCTCAAATCTCTTCTCATCTGTAGCTGTCCAAACAACCAGCCTACCCCAGATAATTTGGTTCATGCATAGCCATCTTATAATATATATATATATATATAATATGGTTTTAATATATATATATATATAATAAGGTTTTAATCCATTTATATTAATGTCTTCGGTAGTAAAAGTTAAACACAAATATAATATATAATTGTATATTAGATACACAGCTAATTAATGATTAGTTTGGCCGAAAAGGAGCAACAGTGTGTGTCTGTGTATATATTATAGTATGAATTGGTCTTAGGTTTGAATAAAGAGGTTAATGTGACATTATATTATGTTAGGAATAGAATTCATTGTCCTCTCAATGAGTGGCTGGGTTTTGGTAATACTGCGGAACATGTTACTTAATCAAAACCACTAAACGAGATTTAATTACAAAGATTAAATCTAATGATAATGTAATGTGTCAAATTGACTTGATAGTTGGCATACATACATATATATATATATATATATAAATGTAATAATGAAATGAAATAAAAACAAAAAAGAGAAAAAGAAGAAATGAAAGGAGGTGGGGCTTGATTGTTAAAAGCAGAAGCAATCAATCACGTGTCGTTTTGAACGCAGGTGATTTCTCCTATGGCTAAGGTTTGTGTGGTTCTCCTTTTCCCCTCCTCTTTGTATTCCAAATTCAATTATAATATTTTGATCCGGACAAAACAATTGCACAGGTTATATATATATATATATATATATATATATATATATCGTATATTTCTATTGTGAGGACGATAATAAATTAAGATTAGTAATGTGATGTGTATTGGATATGGAAGTGTATTGGATACCAATCACAGTTATAGGTATTTATTTAGAGTAAGGGATTGAATGATCCGAATAAGATTGTCATATGGATATGAATAATGAATTAAATCTTATATAATGATTCGTTTTAAAATTTTTATACCTGATATATCTATGGTATCTGAATGAGTAGTATGTATTGATCGTGTCAAACATCATCTTTAATCAAATGATTATAACGATTTATGAGTCATATAAAAAAGTATAGATAGTTAAAATGATATTTTTCTCACTCCAAACGAATGATATATCATTTGACTCTTTGAATGAGTAGAATGATTGTCATATATTATTTACTATCTACTCAATGAAAGAGAAAGTAAATTCATAAGAGAGATGAAGGAATAAAGGCGTGAAAATCGAGTTGTGAGAAAGTCGAATTTTGCTCATAAATTTGGAACGAACCGAACTAGAGATAGATTTGGTTTTGTTGATGAAAATTGGATTTGGATTGGACGAATAAACGTGTTTGTATGTGTGAGAGAGATTTCACTCTTTCTCATCAAAGTCTTTTATACTTTTGTGGTACATGTATATATTATGTATATATGTTATATATGATTTTATAATAATAGTTTTTTTTTTAATAAAAGGTTAATCTGTATTGACAAAAAGTAAAGTTTGTGTACAAAAAATTGGTCAGTTACCGAATATCACTCCCCCAAAAGAATACAAAAACCGTCCATGTAGGAGAAAAACCAAACACCGAAATGAGACATAACTGTAATGACTTTGATGTATGTATAGGTGGATCCACGTATAATTAAAGAGATTTTTAAAATAGTTAAAAAAAAAATAATCTATATTTTGATAATCTTTTAGTTCATATTCCGATTAAAAATTAAACTATCCGAAACACATATAAAATAAATGTAAATGTATGGTAAGGGCGTATCATGAGTTTATGTATATACATATATGCATGAAAAGATGGTATTATATATTCATGTGATGTGAAAGAATATCAAAGTCCACATTCCGCCCACATTCCGTGGTACATAACTGCCCATGGCCCCATTTTAATTATATGTAAATATTATGTAATAATTTCCCATTACATATTGGGTTTCACTGTTGTGTATAATTCACAATCTCCCTCTCTATTCACGAAAAATGACAGAAAAAAATAAAATAAAAGGAGAATTGAGACAATGTGCCGAATGATCTTTCCCGAATCAAGGACCTCTCTCTCTCTCTCTCTCTCTCTCTCTCATATTTTAACTTCTTCCCCAACATGGCTACATCAAACAATGAAATCACTGTGTTAGGGCTCCATTAATTGTCACAAAAAAACATTAAAAAAACAGTTACGTGCAGTTAAATTGGCTGTATTGGCTCTTATTCATTTAGGTTTATATCGATTTTTGTTGTTGCCGTTTTTGTATAAAAATTTCCCTTAAATAGTTACGTATAAATTTGATTTATATGGAAAAAAATTACGGGAACTTGTACTTAATAAGTTTATCATTTTATAAAAAGAATAAATAAATAATTACAAGATTCTAAAAAGGAATCGGATTAAAAAGATTGGGACATTATAAACTAAAATTCGCTTATTCCGACAGCACTGCAATAACCTTTTTTCTCCACAGTAATTATAATTTTTTAATATAAGGTGGGTATCTCCCCCAACTCTGTTGGTTTGAGAGCCCACTTCCTGAACAAGAGGTCGTGGGTTCAACACCCAGGGTATGGAGATTTCCCCTCCGGCCACCTTCGGGTGCTTCACATCCCACACGTGTGGTGCCGGTTGTGCGTGTAGGTCGGGATTAGTCTGGGTCTTTTGGGCTTGGGATTACCGGTTATCAAAAAAAAAAAAAAACTTTTAATATAAGGTTTATTTCAAGTATCACTCATTTGATAAACAGTGGTACTCTTACTCTAGTGTCCACGTCACCATCATTGGTCCAATCAAAATTAGAAATTCTCTATTTTAACTTAAATTCCAATTTAAAAATATGTGGTCGATCGACCATGTCCATTCCTCACCCTTTTCCCCTTTGGATGTATTATCGACAAAGAGATGGACGATGCAGGAAATGATGGTCATCGGCCATGTTATCATGCACTGTACCGCATTATATACGAAATATAATATATGTATATGCAATTATGCATGCAGTGTGATGATAGATAAAAAAGCAAACAACAAAAAAGTACAATCAAATAACATTTCAATATATAAACACAATTCTTCAATTTTGACGATCCGTTTATTATTTTTATTTTACAATTTTTAATCCAATTAACAATATATCATGAATTATTTTATTATTTTAATTCAGCTTTTAAAGAAAAATAAAAATAATAAGTTTAAAAAATATTTAATTTTAAAATATACTAATTAATAAATAAATTTCAAGTTTTATGAGAAAAAACAAAAACAAAATTAGTGAAAAAATAAGTTATGTTATTTTTAATAATCCTTCCATTTTTTTTATAACATAAAAGACATATCATGTTTAATAAAGTTTAAACTCTTTAAATTTATAATAGATTTCCTTTTTTATTTAAAACCTTAATAATCATTAAAATTTTAAAATATATATTTTTTTAAAAAAAAGTGGGATGCCAAAAAATTAAGGATCCTTTTACTAATCTCTAAAAGAAATAAGTATATATCAACAAAAGTGTTTGTATTATCCTAGAAAATGTAAATTATAATTAATAGAAATTAAAACAAAGAGTTCTGATTTTTTTTAATATCAACTGCTTATTTTTCGTTGTTTTTTCCACCACAAGAAGAAATTCATTAAGTATAAATAGAGGATTTCGTATTTATATAAAATTAGAATAATATGGTAAATATTTTGTGTTAAGTTTTGAATATTCACTCATTTATAAATTAGAAATTAAAATATTGTAGGCAAACTCAATGTCGTTAAATGTAAAACAAATTCAATAAATGTAACTAAAAAAATATCCAATTTCTTCTAAACCCTGTTAGTAAAAGGCCCAAACATAAATGTGTTAGTTAATGGGTCATAATCGTAGCCCAGAAAGGCCCAATTCTTGTATTTGTCACTTATTCGGTTTTGGTTCCATTTATTTTTGGTTTGGAAGTTTTGAGTTTTTTTTTTTCAGTTTATATTCATATTTTTTGGTTCCGTTTATTATTTTATCACAAATATAGTTTTTTTAAAATATTTTATCTAGTTTTTAAGTTATTCTTATATACATTATTTATAATTAAAAAAACTCATATAGGATATCTAACTTTATAAAAAAATAAATAATGAATTTTGAAACACCCCGAAAACAAATATAGAATTGGGTAAATAGTAAAAAAAAAAAATCTTGTACTTTTCATTATATGTAGTTTTTTATGTTGCAAAAACCTTGTACGATTGATTTTTCTTTGAAATATTTTTATATTTTTCAATTTTTTTTTTTTTAAAAAAACCCTATCGTATCGACAAACGAGAATCATATATAAAAAAATCTTAAATCACCTTCACTCACGTAAAATTTAAAAATAAACAAATGATAAATTAATAATATAAAATAATAAATAAACACATACATACGTACATTCATGCATACAAATATATACATGTATATATACGTGTATATATATACATATATATATATATATATATGCATACACATAACATATACGCATATACATACATACATATGTGTATGTATTTATATGTATATATTATTTATAAATCAAAATAAAATGATATCAACATGTGATGTAAGATTTATCTGGAAAAACCATAAATACATACGTGTGTAATGTCATGAGCATATCTTATTACTATTTTATTTTCTTTTAATTAATTACTATCTACTTTTGACGGAATTTTAAAATCAAAATTAATTTATATATTGTGCTTTCAAATGGTGATAATGAAAAAATAATACCATATGCGGAAATGTCCAGTAATTTAAACTATATAACCATATCTGCCGCAGTGCCATTGTTTTCCACGCATATACGTATTAGGACACGTGGTTATACGTATTCATGTAAAATCCGCAATCAACGAATGGTGAGAGTTCAAGTTTAACTGTAAAATGCGTATTTAGCCGAAACTAGGAAAATACAAATTGGATATATGGTTACGAATTCTGAAGGTTTATTTTTTATTTGTTTTGTCAAACATTAAACTTTACAATGGACATTTGTTTCAATTCAATCGAAATTAAAGACGGGATAATAATAATGATAATAAATACTCTTCCTGCTCATTAAAATATTGATTTGCCGGTTGAAATATATAAATACAAATGACACTGCATATTACAAATTAATTCCAAACAAAAAAGATGTACTGAAATAAGATCTTATTAGTTATGAAAAAATATTTCATTAAATTCTATACCATCCCATATTCGAACAATTTAGCACCTATTCATCACCCATCAAATAACAATACGGTTCTCAATATATATGTGAGATGTTTCAATTTCGGAACCGGATGAGTCCAATATATATATATATTTTTTTATAAAATTATCACGTTTCAAAACGGGTTTATCCGAATTATCCTTAAAAAATGATGATTTTTAATTGAATACAATTAAGGAATTGGTAAAACCATCGCTGATGGACCCCCGAGTTCGAATCCCAAGATGGGGAGGGAGCGCATAATTCAAATCACATGCCTGGCTCCCGACTCCGGGATTAGTCTGGGTCTCGGCTCAGGAAACCCAGTTACCAAAAAAAAAAAAATCGTGATGGACCGTTTGGTTATTTGGTAGATTTTTAAGAACATACACCACGTGGCGGGTGATGGAGGGAGGGAGCGCGTTAGTTGAAGGGGCTGCCTACTGGTGATGCCTGAGAAACAAAGGATCCCCAACTTGATGACGTGTCATCCGTTACAAGGTAGGCCTCTACTCTGTCGATTCTGTGGGGTCCACGCGTCATTAATATCCATCTCTTATAGATATATATGTAGTACATACTGTTGTTACTCGTATCATATGATGACATATTAAAATATATAGTGGTAGAGAGAGAAACTGAAATTGGAGGCGATCAAATACGCTAATATGAAAACGAAGAAAATATTGGCATGGCACGTCTTTCAGTCGATTTGGTAATAATTCGACATTTAAATAATCTTGATCAATAACGACCAAAAAGTTATTTAGTATGATATTTATATATATAATAAATGGTTCTATCAAATATGTGATTGTAATAAGAAGTTGGGGTGCACAAAGTGTATTTTACACAAACTTGAAACAACTTCCTTAATCCTTTTTGACTGTATTTTCAATACATATAATATCAATAATCATAATATTAATAATAATAGTAGCAATAATCTATACAATGCAAACTTAAAACAGACACACACATATTTCACTGTATTTTGTCAAAGACTCGAGCTTTGAGTCTTCACTTCAGTAATTCCAGAAGGATTCAAGATCAACAGGTCCTGCGGAGGAAGAAGGGTCACCTCGATGATCGAAATGCCTCTTTCCGCACTCGAAATCCGACGAGATATCGGTGTTGATTTCAGTTGAGACACCCGTTTCTTGCGAGACACTGAGTGCCTTGAAGCTCTGTCTTCCTCTGTTCTCGATCATCGCCCTTAGAACCGGCGGCTGTTCTTGCATCCATACCGCCGGATTAGGGTTTTGGCAGAGTGGAGTTCTGGGGACAATATTGTCGTGGATCGAGCTTAGGACATGTTTGCTGAAGCAACTGATTGTGCTGACTTGGTTTTCAGTTGGGTTGGAGAAGCAGGGCACGTAGACTGGTTCGGTTTTGGTTTGGTCATACGGCGAAGATTCGGTTAAAGGGGGTAAACCGGAAGGATCCAAACCGGTTCCAAACGAACCGATTCGGATTAGACCGGAAATCGGTATCTTCTTCCCTCCGGCACTCTTCTGGAACACCCTGCATAGCACCCATTCATTCTGCAAACCCAAAACATATTATATATATATATATATAAACCAAGAAGCTATGGAACAGGGGAAAACAGAGGAGAGACCTTGGCGGTTTTGGGCAAGTTATGGGCAGAGAGTTTGCCATCGAGCCTGTACTCATGCATCACCCAATTGGTTTTTTGACCTTTGGGAGCTCTTCCTCTGTAAAAAACGAGCGTTTTCTTCATCCCGACAAGAGATTTACCTCGGTGAATCTCCTTATCCTTCCCGGTCGCCTTCCAATAACCCGCTTCGGTTGCTCGGTTTGTCCTCATACCGGTCGGGTACTTTCTGTCTCTCACACAGAAAAAGTACCAATCTTTCTCGCCCATTTTCGCTTTCCCTGTGAACCCAACAGACCCAAAATCCCTTCAAATCCGTACGTGATATCAGATGTTAAAACTAGAGGCTGTGGTGTTTGCACGTACACGGCAATTCCCATGGCTCAGATTTGTTCAGATCGACTTCACCGATTGCCTTGGCCGTGAAACCGCTGTCGAGAACCTTCTTGTGCAGATAGTGGGTTATGAGTTCTTCGTCTGTTGGATGAAATCGGAACCCAGGAGGCAAATCCATCTGCTCATCTTCCTTGTGATATCCACAGAAAGTTTCCATCTTTGCCCGGGAAGACCTTAAACCCTAAGAGAACAGGCGAAATTCCCAATCCGAAAAACCTAAACCCTGAAAAAAAAACCTTTAGATCGAAAACCTCTTTACAAAAAAAGGGTATCTAGAATTGATCGAAAAGATCTGATCTTGAACCTTCAAGGGATGGATACAGAAAAGTGTGTGTACATTTATGTGTATATAGGGAGAGAGAGAGAGAGAGAATAAAAGGGAAGAGAAGTTAGGGGGAGAGGTAGGAAGATGAAGAGGGAACTATAAAGGACAGAGCCAAATGGAACTAAAAGTAAAAAGGAGAAAACTTTGAAGGAATGGGAGAAATTAAAAATATATTTTTAATGATACATATTACGTAAACAATATGTATTTCTGATATTATAAAAAAAATTAGTTTTTCCCATTTTGTTAGAGGAGAAAGATACGTAGTGTACAAGGCAACTTGAGTAGGTTGTTTTAGCGCTTCCCCTTTTCAAAAACCTTTTTTTTTTCTTCTCTGTTTTGGAAAAAAAAAAAGAAAAAAGAAAAAAATATCTGTAATTTTTTCCTTTTCTATAGATAATTTCAAAAGTTACATAACAATGATTCATAATTTAATATTGGGTAATATGAAAAATGTAAATTTAATCCATAATAAGGGGAAAATACCATCTTTTTTATTTATTTATTTTCTTTTTAAAAATGATTTAGAAAAATCTCATTTTCTAATTAGTCAATATCTGTCACAATAGTCATGTTATTTTAGATATTTTAAATTCCATTTTATAAGTATTTAAATCGTTCGTAATTAAATAATAATAATTTGTAATAAAAAAATTAAATTGTCCAATCACCGTATCTAGTCGATTCTCCCCATAATTGTTAAATTATTTTTTAAAATCTCCATACAAGTACAAATAAGAGTAATCAAATGTTGGAATTTCGATGAATCATTACCAAATGAATATTAAAATAGTTATATTTAATTAGTAATCAATTTTAAATAATACACTCACTTTCCAAAAGAAGAATCAAGAAGGCTTGGATTGATAAATGATGTTTTGTGCTGTTTCTGCTAGTGGACATTCGCTCTTAAAATTTCAGTTTACATTGACAAAGAAATGAAAATAGGAATTTTTTTTTACATGCAACACTATTGAGATCCAATGCCATTAATTAAGTTAAAAGACAAAACTGACTTTGAATAATTGCTAATTAAAGATTACGTCTAATCCTGTAAGATGAATATGAAAAGAAATAAATTAAGGCGGTAAATCATTAATTAATTAACCTATCTGAACTAATTTTTCACAATCTAATGGGAATATATTTTTTATTTTTAAAATATATTAATGTTTCATTGAGGTTATGAAACGAGGGAAGACAAAACTCAATAGCCAATCTTAACTGTTTGGTGAAAACTCAACTAAGAAAAAAAAATATGGAATGAATTTTTAGAGATATTTTCATCTTCTATGTAACTAGAAAAAATATTTTATAAGTTACCAAAAAAAAATATTTTTTTTTATTTTTTATTTACAAAATTAGGAATATCGAAAAAAATATATATATATTTTTTTAATTTTGTAAATAAATATATAATCTTTTAATTTTGTATAAAATACATAAATTTTATTTTATTTTATATAAATTCAGACAAATTTATATAAAAATACACAAATTTTAAATTTTTTATATTAACCCACATAAAAACACAAACGACGTTAGTGTTTGTGTGAGTTTATACAATTTTTTTTAAAAAAAAATTTGTGTATTTTTATATAAATTAAAATTTATATATTTATTTACCAAATTTGTGTTTTTTTGGGGATATGTACAAAATTATGCTCAAACTGGAAAAAATGTATCAACAAATAAAACTGAAAATTAAAAATTGATGCTGAATACCATAAATTTCAGTACTTTTCTTCTTTGACTAATCAACCAATTTCTAAAATAATTACAATAAATGGTTTAATTTTAATCATGTCCTGAAAGAATTTCCATTTCCTCTCTTTCCCACCCACACGAAAGCGATGTAAAATACGATTATTTGCCAATTTTAGGACCACTAAAATTATTTAAGAGTTCAAATAATGATCACACTCGTGTATCTAATTATCTATATTACCTAAACAGGCGTGCATGTACAGACTCGCACCTATTCATGCAGATGACATACTGCATAAGGTGGTGGGTTACATTACATTACTTAATATATATATATATATATATATATATATATATTAAAAAATCAATGGTTTGGCTCTATTTATTGACCGTGAGTCCTTGACTATAGAAAGAAGAACGAATATTAGCATATTCCGCAACGTTCTCTCCAACCAATTTATTTATTTATTTATTTTTCATTTGTAGATTTTAACTTTAGCCAAATCGGGATAACGGTCCATTTGTAACAACCAAATAGTTATTGTAATTATTCATTAAACTTAGTGGAACATAAGATTATTTAGGCTTCTCAATATTAATTACGTGCATTGTAAACTAATTTGATGTGCAGATTTGAGAAGATAAACGATTATATATCTATATATATATATAGTTTTTAAAACAAGAATTATGTATATAAGGTTGCGAAACTCTTAATTTTCTAATCAAATTTAAGCTTAGCAAAGAAGGGGCCGGGGATAAGATATGGTCGTCGAATTAATTAATTTCTAATTATAGAAAATGCGGGAAATTAGGTGGTAGGATAGCAACTAATATTTCCAATTTAGGAACAGATCCAATAAAACAAGACCACGTGTCGTGTCGCATTGGTCCTCCGCGCCTTATTTCTAATTTGTCTCATAGTCAACTTGTTCGTTTGTGCCACGTCATCTATGTATAAAAAATTCCATATGCCAGTTGTGGACCACCTATAACTCGCCACGTGGCCATCACGGTAGTTTCAGGGAGAACAGGCTTAAAAACCAGACCAAAGGGGGTGAGTTTAGTTAACCTGAGAGTTGACTCTTGAATCCACGACTGTGGTTAGACACGTGGCAGTCCGTGTGTGGAGAAGCTTCTCTACAAGGCGTAGCTATATTGGCACGAGAAGAATAAGTGCCCGTGAATCTCGGATTATCGGCTACAAAGGCAATAGAGAGCGTCAACCTGCATTCCCCGTCGTCGTAGCCGGTCCCTTGTCGGTAGTCGGGCAATACAACCCGCCTCGGGGTTGTATGTGGTAGCCGAACATTGTCGTGCCAGTCTGCTTTCATCGCGGGACGCCTAATTTGGTCCCAGGTGCTGCCTATGCAGAACCGTGATTTAAAGGTACCTGTTTTATGCTTCCAATAACTAATGTTTGAAGTCAAATCCAACAAGGAAATAATCAGTGGTCAGGTAATCCAATAAACCAGAAAACCGGTTCGGTATATACAAAAGCTCACGTTTCTTGGTTCCTCCACAAGTAACCCTGTAACCTCAACCATAACGATTGTATGTCACCCCCCCGGAACAGGTCTTCGAGTTCCAAAACATTTAACCATACCGGAAATTCGATGAGTAAACCGGTTTCTTAGTTCTTCAGTCAATGTGATCCCGGAAACGAATGATCCTGTTGATGAACAGCCTCTCCCGTCGATATCTAACATTACCAAAGAGGAAAGTACTAATTAGCACAACATTGGATGAACTCATGTGTTCAAGAAAAGAAAGACCCTGTTCTATCTTAGTCCCTCAGGCCAATCAAGATAAGGATCAAGAGAAAACACATCAGTCAATCATTGGTGTTATTGTTCATTAAAGTTTCAGTCTTTCGACGCATTACTGTTGATGGAATGAGTTTCAAAGATTCCAGAAGAGGAGGGAGGGGGCTTACATGATAATGGCTGAGATGCAGAAGCACACAAAACCGATGGCGAAATGGAGAGGAAAAGTTTCCCAGAAATTCGTCTTGTCAAGAAATATTTTCTCGGAGAAGAGAGTTACTATGCCCGAAATGATCAGAATGGGCCAACCCGAGGGAAAGCATTTCTGGAACGAAAACGAAGAAGTGCCCTACAGGAGGATGAGACCGACACAGATTAAATTCAATATCTCCTTTCGAAAGGCACATAATAGATCTCAAAGAACCAAGAACAAGAACAACGAGTTACCTGGAAATAACGCCGGATGAACAATGCAGAATAGATGATTCTTAAAATCATATCTATTTTACAAACAGTCAAGAAGAACGATCCATTCTTATGCAGCGGGGATAACAACGCACATGGGCGAGGAAACAAACCCTAATTATGTTTATGATGCTGCAATCTTAAGAACAGGAAAAAATCTACAGGAATCATCATGTAGAAAGAGGTAAAAGGATACTCAGAGAGTTTGCCAGGATTAGACCTAATGCCCCAGCAAACCTTATTAGAACCACATTTAATCCGATGTATATCAACGAAAATACGAGCAGCATGTCATTTGAGCGTTTGAGTTGATTCTCCGATCCAACTGCATGTAAAAATGCTTCCGAGGTCCCTGTTATGACGAGATGTAGAGAAAGTAGATAACAATTCCATATAGTATAGTGTACTTTTAGCTAAATTGCTTCAGAAGAAAGGGAAAAAAAATATTTGTCATGTGTTGTAGGAATGTCTCAGATTTGTAAGTTACTAACCGTTCATGGCAAGAACGATAATGTAGAGACAGTAGAACTGAAGGGCCGGGGAAGCTTCTCCATCGCTCCATTTTTGACCATACAACAATCTGATGAGAGAGTACGAATAGCTCGGGCCAAATGCCATAAACACAAGACCTGGAGAAATTAGAAAAACATGAAGTCAGGAAAAGAAGGGCCGACTTGGCTCAGCGGTAAAACCATTTACGTGGGGTCTGAGGTCGCGGGATACGAACTGAGTTGGTCCTTTATGAAGTCAGGAAAAGAATCCGGAAGTAAAAACAGGGACTGTGTAAAAGAACGGACAGTGAAAAACATTTTAACAGGAGAATTGTAAGATACCTATCAATAATACAAGCTTCAAGGCCTCGGTTAGGCAAATTTCTAGTTTCTTGCTTTTTTGCTCGTTTTCCCCTGTCAATAAAACTTTTTTTCGTCACGGACTGTAATATCTGAACTAAGATTTATTACATAGTGACTCGCAACAGGAAAGCATGCCCGATGTAAAGCACTAATTCAATGTTCAAACCTGATGCAAAGCTTGCAAATGTAGCATATGAACTTTCTTCAAAGGGAAGAAACACCATCCGTACAACTAAGCTTCCTGGAAATTTTTAAAAAACGAAGATAAATTTATGAACCAAGATCGCTGATGAATCATAATTATGCATTTGGTTCAGGTTTTTTCTATATGACAGGAACTAGAAAGCCTGACCGAGTTTGTCAACGAGCCCATACACAGCCTGATTGTAAGGTGTGTCTAACCATACGAGTACCAACTTTTCTCCTTCTTGGAGGATCAACTTTCGGAATGACTGAAATGTAAATAGCATACACATGTCGGAGAGCTTCTTATCGTAATCCATCAAGTTTCCGGGTCTGTTTTACAATCACAACAATTTTCTAAAAACATACTTTGAAATGAATTTGAGAAAAAATTAAAACATATCAAGAACAGGGTTTATAAGCAGGTAAGGAAACCAAATAGGATAGAAACTACCTGAAAGGGAAGAGATCCGAACTTCTGAAAACGCCAAGGATAAGGAAATATGCCCAGTAACCGAGAAACAATGAACCCCCGTATGCAATTTGTGATAACGCAAAGATTATCCCTTTTTCCTACGTAAGTGGAAGAATAACATAAAAAAAAAAGTTGAATCTCGAGCTTGCTTCTTTTGCTGAAACAAACAGGAAGCATAAAACCTAACAAAGAATAATAATAACCCGAAAATCTACCTACCATGTTGGTTTGCTTCACTATGAGAAAGCACAAAATTAGACAGCGTGAAAAAGTAGCAACAGTCTCGACAACCAGTCGCAATTTTAGAAGCAGCAATTTCTGAGAGAGGATGTACAATGGTTCGGCCATTAGCTCCAGGATACAAGCGAATCCTGCCATGTAAATAGATTCATCACATTCTGATATATGCCAAAGATCTGCATTCAGGTTTACTCACAAATATATGTTGCAGAGCAAAGATAAGAAATAATCAATAGATATAGCGTGACAATTTGTGAAAAAAAGGACTGTCATATCCTATGATGAAATGATAAACCAAAAATATCACATCTGATAGAATGTAAATTTGTACCGTGAATTAAGATAGCTTGTGCATAAGTGTTGGAATAAGTAAGGTCCTGCCACCACAAAACGAAAAAGCTTGCCGCAATAGTAATGGCTACTCCGAGCGGAAGTGTCATCCACGCTACTTTCAATAGCTTAGTCGCATCTTTTTCCGAGAAGCGGCCATCACTAAGGGTAAAACTTCAAATATATCAGAGGCCAAAAGAAAAGCTACTACTCAGACATCTAAAAAAAACTACCTGTCGATGTCAGCTCGCATGCAAGCTCGCCGGAATCCCTCCCGGCTGAGAAACAAGACACAAGTGACAAAAAGATGGAACTGCACTGCATAGAGCTGCATTGCCACAGAGGAAGGAGGAAGACAAAAACAAGATCAAGCCCAGTTAAAGCCTAAAAAAGAAGACAAGCAACAGAACATGACTTGATAATCTTTTTTACAGTTATTGACAATAAAACCTGTTCTTGCATGACATAAAGGCTAACGCTTTAACATATGCAACCACACAGAGACAGGTTCTCAGACAGAAATGCTAAGTTTTGCTAATAAGTAGTAATAAACAAACTCAAATCTTTCCCATGAAATGCATAAAGAGGAGGCTGGAACATGCATATATTCAACTAAATTGAAACATGTTCCTCAAACAAGGAAACAAACATGAATGAGCAAGACAACTTGCAAACGACGATGAATTACCGCATAATCCTCTTCCGTGAGATGCCTGACGATCCACGAATTGAATATGAAAGGAATCCCTCTGGACAAGAACTGCGTAGCTAATTGCAAAAACAAACGGAAAAACCGAATCAGAGAAGGGTCATTGCAGAAAACACAACGGATTGTCGGGAAACGAACCTAGAAGGTACTTGAACGTGCGGGCTAGACTCACGCGATCGCCATTACCGGCCATTGTGGAGTGAGTCAACACGATTCTCCTTCTGGGTGTCGCTGGATTCCGATTCTAAACCATCTTCGATGCTTCAATTGAACAGCCAATCAGTCACTGAGTAACGTCCCCCATCTTCACATCGGTATCGGGTAGGACGCAGCTGTTGAGCGATGACTACAAACACCGGATGAATTTCTGGGAAGATAGATCTGATATGGACTCAGCCAGCACGGGACTTGGAAGCTAAAGCCTTCACGACTTCCAACGGGTAGGGTTCGATTCGGTTTATTTGCTTACTGCTAATTTGGATTCAATTATTTTCGGGATTTAATTAAGAAAATACGGTCCAGCTATGTTTAATTAAAATTGCAATCAAATCAAATTTGGTTCGATTTGGTTACAATGTTTCATTCATATAATTTTGTCTCGACAACAATAGAGTTTTCCACTCCCGAAGCTACTGGAGACCTAACTGAGTGCATTTTTCATGCATAAATATGGTGCACCTCGGAAAGGGATTGTTGAATCGTAATCTCAGATTCAATCGACACCGCAAAAACAGACACTAGACTCAAAGTCTGAGATCAATCGAACGCGGCGGAAGCAATTGTAAAGACAGAAGCAGAGATCGACGGAGGCAGGAGAAGACGAAGAAGAGAGAGACTTGCCGATGGGAAAACCGACGACGATAGAGAGAGGGGCAGGCACCTGGCCGTCGTCGTCGACACTCGACAGTAGGGCTGGACCGAAAAAGTCCGGGATTTGGGTTCCTAACTCGACCCACGAGACGGATATCCGATATTAGTCGACTGAGGGAACCGACGAGTTGACGACAAGAGAAAGAGTATTGAGAACGGTGGATTAGGTGATTTAATTTCATTTAAAAGGAGCCGAAACCCTCGAGTTTTTATTTTTAAAAAAAAAAGCCCGATCAAGCTCGAACCCTCGAATATCTTTGGGGCAAAATTTGACACCCTTAATCCTCCCTCCATTTCTACTTCCTCGATCACCACCGCGACAGTCTTCGCCCACTCTCTACCCAAGGCGAGTAACCTCGTCGTTTCATCATCTGGGCCAGCGCTCGATCTACTGGATGTTATCTTGTCGGAGAGATCCAATTTGGAGATAGACCTTGTCGTTATTCGCTACGGGGAGTTTGATGAAGCTCGTAACGTTTACTTTGCATTTCCACTCGCGAGTGTCCCCGGAGAGATAGTTCAAGTCCTTATACTAGGGCTGGAGACCCACGCGTTTTCGAACATCCAGTCTCGTGGATACCCGGGATGTAGATACTTGATCACCAATGAAGCCGATGACGATGGGTGTGACATGGGCTACAAATTTGGACTGTAGATTCAGATTCTTCCAAATCATGATGAGTTTACCCACGACTACTCATATACAGTACCCAAATGTACGGACAAGAGTTAGAATACCCTTTCTTGTTTTCCACACACACACACGCACATATATGTATATAAAACCGGGTTCTGATCAAATACCAGAATCAGAGTATTATAAAAAAACACCAATGGAGGAGGTTCGCTGTTCGTCAACATGAACTTTAAACATGTGTGTGTGTGTGTGTGTGTGAAGAAACACAACAGTTTACAGCGTCTCTTTTCAAGTGAGAGTTACGTGTTATGTACATGGCGGAGCTTTGATGAGATTGACCATCCATGGCGACAGAACACAGCACCTGTTTGCTCAACCAGAAGCAAGGAGCTGCTTCTCTCAGTCAGGTCCGGTGCTTGAGCTGCCGAGATCGAAGTCCATGGTGTAATCGTACTCGATTGTTGGAATGACTGAGGCCATGAACTTCAAGAATAGGAAGAGGTACCTGGTTGAGATCAATCAATCATCCAATTAGCGTAACCGTGGATTTGATTGAACATGTTGTTATTACGTGAACCTAACTTACCTGTCAACTTCAGGTTCTACTCCGCGGGACATCAACACGTCGATGATTTTCTTCATGACAGCCCCGTGTCTGCACGGATGAACTGAGGCATGTTTCCCTGGCAAGTGAGGATGATCTTCAATTGTCACCTGTACATTTTTTTTTATTTCACAGACAGGAAGAGATTGAAGCAAAACTAAAGTCCATAACACCACTAATCCCACACAAATCTATATTGGTCCAGAACTCAGAGGAAAAGACTAGGAAGATCGAGACGAGTTATCCAGAAATTCAACAAATGCAGTAAAGGTTCTTGTCTTTACCGTTTTACGAGCATGGTCTTGGCTAACATCCTCCAGTACAAGCTCAGGCTGCAGTAACATCTTTGACTACAAGACATACCCGATAGCATTAAGGTAAATCACATAAAGCATAGAAAGCGTAGGACACGGAAAAAGGCCAAGTACTATTGTCAGTGTCACGATTTGAAACTATCGGTGTCGAGAGGCAAACCTCATCATAACCGGTCAGCCAAACACGAGGAGTTTGGTAATACTTGTCATACCTGAAATAATGGGAAGGAATGTCAGCTCATCATCTATGGAGCCAAAACCAAGTGAGATGCTGATTTTAAAGTACTCAAACAAGTATATCCATGAACTCAACCATACAAGAAATTTCCTTTGTACATGGCAAAAGTAAATGATTCTTACGTAATGCTGACATCATAGGTTCGGGTTCGGAGGATATTATCATCATCAGGTTCACGAGCAACGAGATAAGTTGACTGAAGAGTTGCCTGAGTCGGGGGAAAGAAAAAAAGGAAAATAATTTTGACAGTGCTGTCAGACTTTGGAGTGGAATTGAAGAAATAAAAAATAAGCTACGAAATAAAACACCATCCAAGTGATTCAGTACTACATTCAAACACCATTGTTAAACTTATTGTCAAATTTAAAATAAAAGTTGACTCTAGGGGAAAGAGAAAGAGTAGAAACTTGCAAACTCATGTGGCTAACTCAAAGGCTGATTAAAAGACACATGGAATTGTGAGAACAAAAAGTGGCCAACTTACAGGATCATTTTCTATAATGTTATCGGTCTCATCAAACTCTTCCATATCCGGAATGTCTTCCTCCTCCTCCTCACCTCCAAAGTATGTAGGCATTGACCGAATATTGCTTTTCTCATTTATTTCTAGAGCATCCATGGATGGCAAATTTTCATCTTCTCTGCCTTTATCTGCAACAAATTTCAGATGTAGAATAAACAGAAGGAAAAATAAGTTCAGAAATGCTAACCTATTCCACAGATTCTACCTTTCGGTCTTCCATGGGTAGCAAGCCAACCATCGTTATCTTCATCATCAAGTAAAACTTCACCTCCAGCCGCTTCATATTCCTCTTCCACAGATGCAGCTCTTCGTAGACAGGGTACTGTTAATCCAAAGAAAATAAAAAAGAAATAATTCTCACAGATATGCAGAACTTCAAAGCTATAGAAAAGAGAGACAGAGATTTCTACTTTACCATTTCTAGTAATCAAGAACTGTTTCTCTGGGGGCAAGTATGGCTTTCTCTTGCTTGGATCACCCGACTCCCTAACCAGACCAAAGAGCCATTACAGCCAAAATTACACAGCAAGCTCATAACGCACTATTAGTTGGTATGGACCGAAATATACCGAAACATTAGCTCAATGAGCCATTACAGGAGAAATTACACTGTGCAATGTGCGGAAAGTTGATAGAGTAGAAAACGCAGTCAATACATCTCTAATTCAATAAGCTAAAATTTTCTTGCCGAAACCCTCAAAGAGCCTAGACAAAAAGTACATGGATGCCTTGCGGCAGATCAGGTAGTGCCCTTAGCTTCTGAATATGATGACTCCCTAAAGAATCCAATAATTTGTCGTGTCCTATAACCACAACTTGATCTAAAGGCATTGCCCATCACTCTATAATTTAGTGAGGTTCACATTTATAGCTTAGCAAACTCATATTGGCAACATGAAAACGATGGAAAGCCATACACTTAGTTCAGCCAGAAGACAAAAACACAACTAATGACATCTCAATCTGACAAGTCAAGCTAATGACATTTCAATCTGACAAATCAATGCACATCAAACAACTTTACTTCCAAACCCAGAGCCCATATAACTCGAAGAACAAGTTCGCATCGCTCACATACCGGAAATAGCAAACCTCCTAGACTGCAAAAGAAAGATTTGGCCACGCGAAATTGAAACGATCAAGAGTTCGAACTAACCAGGACCAGGTAGGGCACTTGGAGACGAGATTATCACCGGCGAGAACGAACTCACCGACGCTGAGTACTCCCTTCTCCTTGAAAGCAGAAACCGTACGAGGACCTGTAAGCCTCTCCACTGTCCCTTTGAATGCTTCGTGAAACTTTTGCGACAGCACCATTGCTAAAATCGATATGACTGGCGGTCCAGGAATAGATTATCAAGGATTAGTTTCCCGAATTGATTTCAAATCAGGATCCGATTGCAAACCCTAGATGAAGCCGATGGAAGATCGCGAATACCTTGTCGGATTTGGCTACAGAGTCTTCTCTCGTTTAATAGTTTTAAGAAATATCACCGGCAAACCCCATAGTTTAAGAAGTATCAATTTCTGTCCCGCTACTATTAAAGTTACAAAATTTTCCCTTAACACTATTATATTCTCACATTTGCCCCCTCAGTTTCCAAATGTTTCAGTTAACTCCCTGTGTTACCAGAATGGTCCATTTGCTCCCAAACTCCAGATAAATTTGTTATAAAAAAAATGGTTCTGGATAAGAATAAAAAACAAAAAGAATCGAAATAGAAAACGAAAAAATCCGGATATGGCAGTGTGGCTAACCCCAAGGGTCTATACACGTGGCGCTTACAGGACAGCTCTAACTGTCACCGACCTGTCACGCGAGAATGTTTACTAAAGTTTGAACTTCCTATTCAAATTAAGAGCCGGCCTTTACTTTAAAAAAGTGTATGAATAATTTTTTTTCTCTGCTTCCGAAGAAAATCGGCGATCAATCTCTTTCGATCACGGCTGACTTCAGGCTTTCGTTGCTGATCATATCCAGGAAACGGGTAGCTTTTTCCCTAGAATTTCTGGGTTTTGATGATCGTCTCCATTGATGTGTTCTTGTTGTTGCTTCTGGTTTTAATTTTGACCTTCTGTAGTCAACATATCAGATGATCAGCTATGTTTTATTTGTTTCGTGAACCCCATATCTGGTGGAGAAGCAATATCTTCAATCACAGTTAAAGTTTCGGTCTTTTGTGAAATTTAATTCGAAACGTCGAAACCTTTCCGCGTAGATTTTGACGATGATCATTCAGCTGTGTCTAGGGCACGACTTCAAACATCGGATAGTTTTTATAGGTTTGGCCTGTTATTGTGTAAAATAAAAATTGAACTGGAGTTTAGTTTCGGTTTCTTTTGTGAAATTGGATGTGATTTGAGAGGAAGTTATTATTCAGCTGAATTATGGTCGATGATACATACTGCTTTTGAGTCTCTGATGGCGGATCCAAATGAACTGAACATGAATGTTCCTTCGTATCTTGACTGAAATGGTTTACTAATGATTTGTTTGAAGCGGCCGGTGTTGGAAAATGCCTTCTCTCAACTCGCAACAATGGCAGGAGAAGGCCAGTGGCTTCTTTTCTTCCTCAGGTGCGATAATTAAATTTCCTCCTCTGGTTTCTCTGTTCCCTTCATTGTGTCTACTATGGCGGAACACTTATTAAATGATTTTACTGATATAGGGTTGAAGCTTAGGGAAGCCAGGCAATCAGCCGGCACATTTGTTGGGGAAGTTGCTAAGGACGCAAAAGTAAATGTTGCTGATGTTGCAGAAAGGGTTGGATCATTGTTCAAAACCCGGTGGGCACTACTTCAGCAGCCTTCAACGAGACATGCTGTGCAGGAACGTCTCATAACGGCTGC